ACCTGGGCTAGTGGAAGGTGTCCCTGCCCATGGCAGGGGGTGGAACAGGATGAGCCTTCAGGTCCCTTCCCACCCAATCCATTCTATGACTTTATGATTGGAACCCACTGAAAGTTCTCTGTGACTATAGAAGTCAACACTGCCCAAGGGCTGAAATCCCATTGCACTGTCCTACTGTTTTTTGTTGTTTTTTTTCCCCCCAAAAGCCCCTCCTCAAGGCTGAACTGACACATCCACCAAACACACTGAAATGCTCAGGAACAGCCGCCCATAACCACTCCCTATTCCCATCACCTGCACGACACATGGTTTTCCTGCAGACAAGGATTCCTGGAGCAGTTCCACAGCCCGCTGGCCTGGGGTTGTCCCCCAATTAGGGTCCAGCCTGGGAAGTACAACGTGGCCATTGGCTTGCAGCTGGCAGCCAACCCTGACATCCTGCTCCTGGAAGCACAAACTGTCTACTAAGCGGGAAGAGGAGAAACATTTGATTACAAACCTTCCTGCCTGGAAGCATTTTTAATCCTGGATCGAGCAACTCACACTCAGCCCCAGAGTGTACACTTGAGTGTATGTCTGATCTCTTTTGGGGAGCAAGATGAGAAAGCACAGGGACCTTGCTGGCACATCAGAGCTCTGTTGCCTGTGTTTTCCAGACAGGGACCTTGTTGCCAAGTGCTGGTGAGTGCTGCAGGCTGGTCCAGGCTCTCCACACAAATTACTGGTGCAGGTCTGGTTGTATGTTGTGGGCACAAAAATGAGAGAGAGACACGGACTCAATATTGAAATCTTAAAGTAAAAATGTGGAAGGTCAGATGACAGAGAAGGTGAGAGGCATTTCAGACCCAACCAGCACTTAAATCCAGGTAAGAAACAGGAAGTCTGTGGCAACAGCAGGATCATGGAGGCCATCAGAAAATATCACAAGTTAATCAAGAGTTGGGAGCAAGTAGAGTCCAGAGCTTGCCAGGAAACAACATGTCACCAGGATTACAGGCAAACCTTACAGGGCAGCTGTGATTCTGAAGGCCTGAGAGTCAAATTGTGATCAAAGAGTCGTGCAGGCACAAGAGGAAACAGCATGGAACCCAGAATCCCTCTCCTAAAGGCAAACAGAGGTGACTGACAGCACAACAGATCCTTCCCAACTCACCCCCCAGGTCCCAGGAGGGATGGATGGAGGGCTGCTCACGTGACACTGACTGACATGCTGCAAGATTGTCTGTGGGAAAGGAACGAGAGGGGTAATTTTATTGTCATGTACCACAGGGGGGTGTAAGTAAAATCACAGCATGAGAAAATGACAGTGTATCTGTCTGAGGTCATTTGCATGCCCGGATAATCTGTGGGAGGAGAGCCAGAGTTGCTGTGTTTGACAGAGGCAACACAACAATGTGCTTGGGAATTGGCAGATTTGCAAGCCCCGAAACCAATCTCGTGTTTGCTGCTCCCAGAAACTAAAATGACCAGATTTAATCATTTAGGCTTTCAATGATTACACTTTCCTCCCTCGTTATGGGCTGTACGAGGGTGTCCTCCTGCTGAGCAAGCTGCAGGGATGGCACAGAGGGACAGTCCAGCTCGGAAGGGTGTGCACATCCCAAGGACACGCTTGGGGGACACAAAGGGACTGTACAGTGCTCCGTGCAGGTGAAGGAGCACAGACAGGCATGAAAGCAGACACCAGGGAGCAGCTGCTCTGGGCAGGCAGTGTAGCCCAGTAGTTTTTAGGAGGGATCTGGAAGAAGGAGAAAAGGCTTTGTTAGTGTTTCCAGGTTGCTCCTCCGCTCCAGAGGGAGTAACCTGGGAGAGAAACAGGGTGGCACGTTGGAACTGGCACAGCTGGCAGGACAACTCGGTACCTCTGCAGTGGAAAATGTAGCTGCTGGTTGGATGGAGCAGGGCCAGGAGAACAGGGCGTCTGCAGAAGGCACAGGCACTCCAGGGCTCGTGTGGAGGGAGGTGGTGACAGGATCGGTGAGACAGGCTCTGCACGACCCTCTAACACTGCACTGCCAGAGGCTCCAGGAAAATCCCGATGATAAGGTGTGAGGTGCTCTGCACAGGACTGATAAGTGTGGCAGAAATCTGATTGCTCCAAAAACCTGGGCATCCCAAAGGGATTTCATCTGGGAACACAGGGAGGAGGAGCTGGATTTTAGAGATAACCTTTGCGCAGAACCATCTAGTTTTCAGCAGAGCCCAGATATGGGTATTTAGAGACAGGTCAAGTCAAAGAGGACAGAGGGGGTGAGTGGATGGTAAGAGAGAGACATCAAGAAAGGAGCAGGGAAGAGCAAGCACAAGGAGATTTAAAACTCCTGAGCTGAAGGCAGTAGGTGGGTGTCCACGAAGGGCTGTCAGAAAGCAGTCTGTGAATTAATTTGGACAGTGCAGGACGGGCTAGGAGGAAAGTGATTGCTCTGTGAGTCATCAGCAGGAGATTAAATATGCAAAATTTGTAAATAAGGTCACCCAGAGAGGGAATGCAGAGGAGGAAAAGAGGAGGGCTGGGCAAATGGCCAAGGATGGAGCAGTGAAGCAGCTGACAGTACTTGAGGATTGTCAAGCAGGACAGGCACAGCCTCATCAAGGCAGGGGCAACCCTGTCCTGCTCGGTGAGCAGAGGGGAATAACACACCCCCACCAGCAAGGAGACTTGTCACTGCCAAACCCAGAGAGAGAGTAAAACACCTTGTTGGTAGCCATAGACTGGAAAAGACAACCCCACAGCTGTAGCTGGCAGGGAGTTGTGTGGGAGGCTGTGCCTACCCAGCGTTACTCAGCTGGAAGAGCCAGAGCTCGTGTTTGTGGCTGCAGGGGCAGGAGCAGTGGCATCCTGAAAGCCCCAGCTGACCCCAGGTTCCAGAGCCAGCTGGCCAAACGCCACAGCCTGAGCTCCCCCATTACCTGGAGCTGGCTGGGAAGCAGAAGGCAGCACGCAGGGAACAGCCCCATTACCTTGTCACTGGAAACGGCCCCTCATTTGTCAGGGAGGGATTCAGGCAATGGACAGAGGGATGTGGGGGGGGTTGCAGGTGTTAGGCAGTCACCCTGAGAGCTGGAGACAGCAAAGAGAGCCTGAAAAAAAGAGGATCCATTTCTAGGCAGAGAGGGTCTTAGCAAGCCCCAGGCAGAGTGAGGGGAAAGGGGGCTGGGAATGGACCAGTGGAACAATGAGTACAAAACAAAGGGGCTGCATTAAAGGGACCCACTCTGGCGCTTGAACCAGGTTTAAGCAACTTTGCTGCTGCCTAATCTGAGGCTAATAACGAGCCAGATGTCTTACAACTTGGAAATGCCTGGCCAAGTCAGTGAAGAAGAGCAGGTGAGACACTTAACCCTTAAAGTAAGTGGTGTAAACGTTGTTCTGTTTCTGTTTGTGAGTGCACAACAAAGGCAAACTGCTTTGGGGTTTACAGGTTTAAAGTTGTGGCCTGTTGGCAGCAGGATATTGTACAGCCCTGCTGTGGTGCTGAGACGGGCTGAGCAGCCTCAGCATCTCTGTCTGGCACAAGCCTCAGAGGCAAAGTTGAGTGAGCTGGGCCCAGGGGTGAGCAGGAGAGGTTACCCCAAGGCCAGGCTCTGTGAAATGCAGAGTTAGTCACGACAAGGTGGCCTGGCCCCTCCAGGGTGCTGCTTACCCGTTCCAGCAATTCAGAGGTTTTTATATGCAGCTCCATTTACAAGGAAACCCAGTCTGCAAAGCACAGCTTAGTCCAAATTCCCATTACAAGACTTCATCAGATCACTCTGGGCTCTGAGACCACTGTCTCCACACAGTAATAGCCATTATCCCCAGGCTTTGTGTGTGTTTATGTTACCCTTCCATTTTCCCTTCAGATATGACAAGCAATTCCTAGAAAATATGTTATAAACTCTTCTGCTCTGGAGTTCTGCCACCTCTGATTGCATTCATTTGAGCCAAGGATGTAGTTCCAAAGCAAATCAATAAACAAGACTTAAAAGGGTCCTACAGACACAGGCTGGGGGCAGCACCACAGCCCTCCCCCCTCCCCAGTTATCTCTGCTGTGCTTCAACCTAACAAAATAAATGGGTGAAATCCAAACAGTAGAACACTTCCCAAAGCTCCCAGTGCTGCTTTACAGTATGGGAGTAGGGGCTAGGGCTGCCTTGCAGCTGGAGGGTCCCTGGAGTCACCAAATCAGTGTGACTGCTTGTCACAGTGCTGATCTGGGCCGGGGGGAGGGTCTCTCAGGGATCATCAGCAGGGACACACCTCACTGCCAGCCTGGGGTACCCATGGGTGGGCTGCAGCCAGGGTCTCCTGGCTGCCACAGGTGGTCCTGGAGACACCCAAGGAAACATCTCCACCCCCGTGAGGGACTGGAATGGCAAATCTGGAAAGCCCGGATTCAGAAAGGGGCCATGCACCCCACTCTTACTGAAGACACTGAGGCCCCTTAGGCTTGTTATCACATCCAAGGAAGCATATCTAGATTTACCTGGGGAGTACATATTCACCCTGAACCTTCCTTTACACTGCCTCTGGCTCCTCGTACCTCCCAGCACCCCAAGAGCCATTTGGGAACAGGGAATGGTCCTTGGGAGCCTCCCAAGAAGCTGACAAGGCTGTACCTCCTCAAGCAGCTCCTCCAAGGTGAATCATAATGGACCCCATAAGCCACAGTAAGGACTGCTGGCTAAACACTTCCCCAGGGAACAGCTGAGAGGTGGGTTATTCATCACCACCTGCTCCCCAGGATCAATGGATCAGGCACACAGGATGAGGATAACTTCCAGAGAAACCCCGGATACAAAACCTGCTTGTATGCACTCACAGCAGGAGTTACAGAGCACATTAACTCCACTGGTTGAATTATTTGGATTTGGGTGGTTTTTTAATTTCAAAATCTCCAAAGGCTGTGTAGACACAACGCTGACAGCTCAGCCAGAGAGGAGGGGTGCTGTGAGAACACCCCCTCACTCTGCCACCAAACAACTGCTGGGTTTTTACCTGGCTGCATCTTCAGCTGAGATCTCCATCACTTGTGTGCTGCTGTTGTATTGGTGTGTCTGCCTGGAGATGACTCAGGACACCTGTCTGCTGTTCCCAGCTCTTCTGCTTTCTCTCACTGTGAAATAAAAGAAACCACTCATTGTGGCAGTGCTCTCGTATTTTGGTTTTCCTCGTGGTCTCCGTTTAGTGCGTCCGTGCATTGCTTCCAAATCCAGCACTGTGTGTGCAGAGCCTGATTAGGGGAATTCACACCACCAAAATATACATCCTATGTGCTCTTCATGAGCAGTTACACACAGCCCTGGAAGAGCCTCCCACACAACACACTGGCACAGTGAAGCTCCTACTAGAGACACGTGGGACAAGCAGTGCCCACGTCTCCTGCACAACAGCCCCGGAGTGCTGTGGGACCTTGCTTAAAGAAACGTTTTCCTGGGAATCAGAGAGAGATCCCACGAACTGCTGCTCTTTTTAGTGGGGCCTGTGCTCATTTGTAGAGCTGTGGAGGCCATGTCTGACACCACAGAGGAGCTGTGAGCTATCCCAGCCCGCGAAGAAGGCTCCTCTGAGCTGCACTGAGGGACACAACTGCTGGAGGCCATTCCCATGACATTCCCATGTGTTCAGATCATCCCTGTGCAGCACCAGGGAACTGAACTGCACACACTGCTGTGGTGCCTTGGTTTCTCTCTGTGTCTCCAGCACAGGCTGCCCTGCACCTCACTCAGGCAAACCCCAAATTCAAGAGGCCAAATTGTTCCCAGTGTCCATGCAAAGCAGCCCCTTGTCCCTGTACACCCTGTGGAGCAAGGGGAGCGCTCCCACCCTGCCCAGGCTGGCAAAGCCCCATCACGTGGCCCCAGTGCCACACTTTCTGCCAGAGCCTGTTTTCCTGCTGGGGACCATGCTCTGCTCTGGGTGCCTGCAGCACTGAGCACCTTTGAGTGTGCTCAGCCATGGGGTAATTAATGAACACGAGTGGTCACTTCCATTATCTGCAACTTGAAGGCAACTCTGATCACGTCAGAGCTGGAGCTGCACTGGACCAGGGCACAGCCACACCTGGGGCTCCAGACCTCTGCGTGCTCGCTCTCCCCGGCTGCTCGGGGAGTCAGGTGGTGCCGTTCCTAGAAGGTGAATAAATTATTATTGCAAATTACTCTGATGAAGTGGCTTTTATTAGAAAGCCAGACACAAAGGGAGCTTGCTGATTGGCTGCCAGTGATGTCATAGCCAGCACAGCACTCAAATGCAGAGATGCGAATTTTCTCGTCTGTATTTTGCGTATAATTTTCATTTTCTCCTGGCAATAAAGACTCACCAGCAGAGTCTTTCACCCCGGGAGGGCGGCAGGGGGGTCTGTGCTGCTCAAGTGGCTGATGAAAGCAAAGTGGCCTTTGTTCCTCTGTCTTGCAGGGAACCCCAGGCTAACAGTTTGCACCCACAAAGACACTGTGGTTTATTGTTCTATTACAAACCCACCACTCCATTTTCTTACGTGGGTAGCAGAGAAATTGGCATTTTTTTGGCTTGCATACACCTAAAATCATTCTGATCACAGAGATTTTGCTCTTTACAAGCTGAAGCTTAAAGTGCAGATAAAGCAACAGCCTGGGTATCATTCTGATCCTCAGCAAAAGGCGAGAACGAGGCTTTAGAAACAACCAGGCAGCAAAATCCAACTAATTATTTATTTTTCAAGTTTCACATCGTGGTTTTTCCTCCCTGCAAAGCCACTGTGAATTCTCAGAGAGGTCTGTCAGAGGGGCAGACGCAGTGCCAAGCGCGCTGCGCGTTCTCATTTCTCTTCCCTAACTGAACCTCGTATTGAACTTATAAAATTCGCCAGGCAAATGTTCCAGCTTTAATCATTCCTGGATGCAACAGGCACACTGGGACAACTCAAACAGTAGAACCCTGTGTGGACAGCAGGCATGGAATTATCCCTTGCCTCTCTGAACTGGAATGAACTCCCAAACCGAGGCAGCCACGTGAAGGCTGTGGTGAGCTCTGCAGCTCCCTCACGCAACGCGGCCGCAGTTCTGGGCTCCAGCCCTGCTGGACCTGGACATGGCAGAGTGGAAGGTTTTCCATACCTCCCTCCCTCCCTTATGTACAACCAAGGTGCAAATTTTGCTGGGAAGGCCAAGAGTAACATTTCCAGCCCTGGGAACAGTCTCTTCCCTGTGCTGTGCAAACACTGGGCTCTCCTCCAGCAGACCCAGCACAAATCCCGAGCTGACCTCCGGCACTTGCCCATTCCCCTTTGATTATGGCTCTGAAGCCATTTGTCCTGCAAGGGCAAAAAACAAAACACATCTATCACTTGGAAGATGCCCTGGAAACCCCCAGACAGTTGCACTGATGAAACTGGACACTGAGGGCTGCTGGAGAGCTCAAACATAGCTAGATTTGCTGTTCCCAGACCTGAGGTCACGACTCCCTGCAACATCATCAGCTCCACTTTATTCCAGGTGGCTTGAAGTTGGAAATCATTCTCCCTTATCACTGAAGATTTGCTGAGCTGCCTGCCCTCCGTGGATAACAGCAGCTGCCCTCAGACTCCTGGAGGCTGGATCTGAGGCTTTTGAAGTGCTGAGGGTGAAGGTGCAAGGAACAGGCATCCGGGAAGGAGACTCCTGACTGTGAATCAGAGTTAAAAAGGAATGTGAAGGCAGCAGTCCTGGGAGAGGATGCTGGCTGAGACACACGGCCTGCATCAGCAAAAAGGGAACGGGCTCCCAGGTTTAAGACCTGGAACAGATTCAAAACACCCCTTTTAGATCTGACCTGCTTTCCTGTCTGAGGGAGACAGCGGAGAGGAGAGGGAGCCATGAATCTCGGATCCAGTCCCTGCTTTGCCAATGTGTGGCTTGGCCCTACATCCCTCTTTGCTTTTACCACTCCATGTGAGAGTAGAGGGCTATTAAAAGCATCAGAAGAATTTCAAGTAAAACAATTTTATTGTTTTTTAAGAGCTTTGTTATACATCTCTGGAGCTCTGGCTTGGACCACCACAGACGAGCATCAGGAAGCTCAGAACAGCCTTTGGATATCGAATTACTGTTCAGAACCATATCAAATTCCAAAATTGCAACTACTGGCCAATAAAAGAAGCCTCTGTAGGACATAACACACCCACACAGATGGCACAGACCACAAAACCATCATGCTGGGCCTAACTCAGCTTCCCTTCCTCACCCAGAGCAGCAGCCTTGCCCCGGTCTGATTCCAGCAGCATTATTCCCCTGGGAAGCAGCTGGGCTCTAGAGGAGAACACAGTCCCACCTACTCATCACTGACCTCACAAGAGCCCCTCTATTGCTTGGTTTTTAATGACTTTGGGGGTTGGTGTCTCAGGCAGCCCCTGCCCTGCACTTGAGGACAGTATTAGAATCACGTTTGGATTATAATACCCAGTAAGCTGTTCTGGGGTGATATGAATCAAAGCCCTGAAAGTGGGATTGTGTTTAATTAATCGTGGCTGACAGATGAAAGTATTGATTGTAGACTGAGAGGTTCAGGACTGGTCTGGGGGATAATTGTTGCAGGGTACACCGTGTTAGGGTGATATTTCCTTCATTTCTGGTGACGTAGGAGGGAAGCAGGGGAAAAATAAGTGAATAATTGCAGCTAATTAGAACTCGTGTGTACATCCCAAATTAATTTGTCTGAATAATCAACCGCCACCAGCAGTCTGATCCAAAAGGAAAAGGAAACAACTGCCCAGAAAGATCTCAATTGCTCCCATAAATTCGGCAGTCCCAGGTCTGAGCTGAGGCCCTAAATACAGAAGGAGAACTGGACAAGATTATTGAGTGGAAACACTTGCTTTTGCTTAAGGTGTACAATAGGTAAAAAGGAGTGGGGGAAGCTGAGGGATGGCACAGTGCGGAGGGGAGGCAGATGATGCTCTTGCCTTCACCTTCTTCCCATCCCTATCCATTTGCAACAGGCTGGACCGCCGGCAGCCTGCCCACCACTCCCTCGCCAGGTGGGACACGGGAGGTGCGGGATGGCGGCGGGGATCAGCCGGGCCACCGCTGTCGCCGCGGGGTTAATAAGAGGTGTCTGTGCCGGCGGCAGGGGCAGATGGAGGCGAGGCTGCGGCAGCCCCGTGGGCTCACAGCGCCCGGCCCCGCTCGGGCCGCGGGATCCCCTAATCTCCCACGGCAGCCCTGCTGCTACAAACACTCTCATCACGAACGCAGCGGGGGCAGCTCAGCACAGACAGGGAATGATCTAGCAGGGGGTTAATAAAAGGACTGGCGCAGAACAAAAAGCCTGTCAACCGCCACAAGATGTGCTCTCCACCCCTGCCGCCCCCCAGGAAATTAAAAACTGCAGCCCGTGGCGTGCGGTGTTCCCTGCGGGACCGGACGGGGCTCGGGGAGATGGAAGGGGAGGACGGGAAGGGGGAAGTTGGGAGTCAAATGTTTATCCCAGCTGTTGTTTCTGATGCGAGATATCAAGTGCTGTTACTCTAAAGGACCAGACTACCTGGTCTTTCCAAAGCTTATGAAACCACGGCACATTTCCGTGAGCTGTTGCCAGCAGCTGCTCTTGGAGACCATCCACTCGATCCTGCCAGGCTGGAGGGCCAGGCTGCTCTGCCTGACACCGCCGAAGTCCGTGCTAGCACGTTTCCATGGAAATGGGAAGAGAACGAATGCCTGTGACACGATACACCTTTTCTGATGTAGATTTGGACCATTTCTAACATCTCTTTCTAGTCACAGCCTTCAGGACTGAATATTTTGCGGACACAACCAAAACAGAACAAGAAGGGGGAAAAGACATCTGATGTTATGAATCAAAACCAACCATCCTTTCTGGTGAGCAGCAGTTGAACTCGAAAGCACATTAATCCCCTAAAACAACCTTCTAGGTAAAGAGACCGCCGCACTAAATATAACGTAATTCGCAGGCTCCTTATTTCTCAGAGGCGAACGGTGACGATCTGTCCCTCCCCTCTTCGGCCTGTTTGGGATGAAGTTTCCATCCCCGTCTCCCCTCGGAGGGGGATCCCTGCGCTCGGAGGTTCCCTGGCTGTCGCTGTGAGACCAGCCCGGCAGCGCTGCGGCAGCGCGGGCCCGCAGCGCCCTCTCCCGCGGC